TGTTGCCTCAATAATTAAATAGAGTTCATTTCATCATAAAAGATATCATTAACATAAGAGGGTTAATGAGATACACTTGGTTTTATGATTTTTGAAATATTGAAGCATTTTCTTTTAATCAACGCCATCATCCATCTCAAAAAATCATGAATATCTTTTATTAATAAGATGTTTTTATAGTTTATGTTTTTTTTTTTTTTGGAATAATTTCAAAGACTTGTGGGCTTAGCATAACAAAAATGTTTGGTTGGAAAACAAGTTATCAGAATGATTAGATTATAACATGTGAATTCGTTATTTTACAGATCACCTAGACATTAGAAGGGTAGATTGTGTCTTGCCCGATTTTCGTTTGTGAAAATATCTGTTTCTTTAACCTACAAATTTCAATACCAAACACGAAGTAAACTGTAGAAACTTAAAGACACATGTGATTTTACATGAAAAATCACTGGCTCAAAGGGGGTAAAATATGACCTACCCGTATATGATTTTCTCAAACTCCACTAACAACAAGAGTGGCTTTTAGGATACAACAAAATAACCAAGGGACTATAAACTCTAGTACCTTAACCCCTACAATCAATTCAATTGTAGCTATTTCTCCTAGACTATAAACTATAGCCTAGAACTCTAAAATAAATTATCATGCTTGTTTGCCTACGATTATACTTCTCAAAAGCAAAATAGGTTACAATTAATGAACAATGAACCAAGGCTTAAGCAACTAAAGAACTAGAAAAATTCTTCATCATTAAATTTTTCAATTGAGTAGCTCGAATCTAGAATGCATTATCTTGCTTTGATTGCTATTTGTCGTCATTGATTTTGCAGTAGAACGGCAAAATATCATAAGTCTTCAATAGCTTCAATGCAAAGCTTTTATAAATTATAGGAGTGAGGTTGGCTATAAACTTCTTCAATTTCAGCTCCAAAACCTAAAATATTTCAGTCAATCCTTTTAGAACTTGGTTTCTTTAATTATCTCCAGCTCCACACACATTTTTCTTATATGCAAGTGTAACAATATTAACGAATCTGTATTGCACATGAATCCTTCAGTTGATACAGTACTTGTAGCCCACAAAATAAATCTTTTGAAAAATTCGGCTTGCATTAGGAATCAGTTTGTAGTTCTTGATCAAAGCAATCTAAAGGACCTGGTTCTTTCGATACATACTCGACACATCTACAACCCTATTAGTTAGTACATCAAATATATTCAAGATACCTGGTTAATTGACAATAGTTTTTAATCATCAAAATCAATATTTAACCTCAACTCAACAAGATTAAATAATGTTAGAATTATTTAGTGAATATACTTTTACTATTGGATTTTTGATTAATTGGAAAAATAAAATATATAAGGGATAATATAAATATGTGTTTGATTTTATAGTAAATTGGGATAAACTTTTATTTTTAATTTAAAATTTTTTTAACGGATTTTTGGAGAAGCCTCTTGGAGAAGGGTATTTTGGTTATTTTGATATTTTATCTTGAAATTAGAAATTTCAATATTATTATGCTACATTGAAAATGATATAAAAATACTATCATAATTATGATATTACTAATTTTGAAATTAAAAATTCGATCAAATACAAAATAAAATAATCTCATATTATATTTTATAATTATAATTTCTTATTCCACAAACCAAACAGCCCCACAATCATGGATTGTCATGACCCAATCCATTATAGGCCATGATGGCGCCCAATACCGTTGTTAGGCAAGCCAACGCCGATCGACTAGTGGTTTTCCGTTTAAATAAATTATTAAGTAGAAAAATTTCCTTATTTGTTAAAAAGATTTAGAAATATGCAAGTGAATAAGCGGAAGCAATAAGTACTAATCAGAATCATGTAAGCAAACCCAAAATCACAAGTCTATTAGTGAGTGTGCCAAGACCTTGTGTCACAAGTGTGTGGGAAATCTAGTGGAATATACAAAATAATACTGCTAGCCTACTGTCTGAGAGGAAATTGACAGAAAAGTAAAACATAAGGAAGAGTCCAACTGCTGCAAAATGGCAGGCAGCTCACCGTGAAGTCTCGAAGTGGGGATCAACTACGCGCGCTAGACGGGTAACTAGATGCACCTCTCTCAGATCCTGTACAATTAAGTACAGAAGTGTAGTATGAGTACATAAACAACATGTACCCAGTAACTATCCAGTCCAACCTCGAAGAAATAGTGACGAGGGGTCGACTTAGACACTTACTATGGGCTAACATGATATAATTAAAGTGTTATGCTAAGCATGGATATCATGAATAATACTGAAAGCTCAATAACAGGAAGTGATAAGTTCTTCTTTCACAATATAATTTCAATTTCATTCATATCATTTAACAGCTTACATTTCAAGGCATTTAAGCAGTATAAATCACGGAGGGTTCCAAATAATTGGCATGCGCAAATTATGCCGAGATCGTACGGCCCGGTCCAACATAATATTAAACTGTGCACTGCCTGAGGGTCGAACAACGCGAACCATAGATGCATCTATTTACTACAGAGGCGCTCGGCCCGATCCACAAATAGTAAATATTTTCAAAGAAAGCACAAATTTCACATTTACAGTCAAGCATTCCATTAAATCTTCAAATAAGTGAATTTAACCTCTTACACTTCTTTCATGAAATTTCCAATTTGACTCAAGTAATTAAATTAGCAAGTAAGGGCGAAACATTTCATATAATGCATGATATGGGTCCTAAACTACCCGGACAATAGCATAGTAGTAGCTATATACGGACTCTCGTCACCTCGTATGTACGTAGCCCTCACAAATAAGTACACACATTTGTTTAATTTACCTATGGGGTTAATTCCTTCTTACAAGGTTAAAAAGGAGACTTATCTCGTCTCAAAGCCTACTTCCCAATTCAAGAATGCGCTTAAACCTCCAAATTCGATGCCAAACGACTCGAAACTAATCAAACATTGCATAAACTAATCAATTTATGCTCAATGATTCACATTTCCACTATTAAAGTGATTACCCAACCTAAATTGCAAGATTTCTAAAATTCACCCCGGGCCCACATGCTCGGATTCCGAATTTTTTTGAAGAAAGTTATTACCCTTAACCTTAGAAATATAAATATATGATTTCCACTAAGTTTCAAAATAATTTTCGTGGTTCAATCTCGTTTTATCTAAAACCTAGGTTTTCCTATAAAACCTTGATTTTCACTAATTTTTACATGTTAATCTATCCATAATCTAAGTATTTAACTCACATTTGGTAGGAATTACTTACCTCCAAAAGCTAGGTCGAAATACCCTCCTTAAAAGCTCCTCAATCGCCCAAGTGTGGAAGAAAATGAGTCAAAAATGCTAAGTCCCGTATTAAATGAAGGCCACTGCCCCCAGCGATTTCCACATCTGCGGTCATAAGGCCTCATCCGAGGTCCAGCTTCTGCGGAAAAGCCTAGGGCCCGCTGGGTCGCATCTTCAGTCGGGTACCCACTTCTACGGTTCCGCATCTGCGGAACCTGGGCTGCCCTTCCTTGGCCGCTTCTGCGATGCCTAGCCCGCACCTGCGAGCTCGCATCTGCGCTAACCAACCGCAGGTGCGGTTATGACAGATCTGGGGCATTTAGCTGCTTGTTCCAAATTTCCAACTTGGCCCGAGCCTCGTCCGATTGACACTCGGGCCCCGCCCAAACATACCAACAAGTTTGGAATTATAAAACAGACTCGTTCGAACTCTCAGAACGCCCGAAACAACACTAAAACTAAGAATCCATCTCAAAACCAATTGAATCAAACTTATAACTTCAAGTTCTTCAATTTACTTCCAATGCGCCAAAACGTACTTATACTACTCGGAATGACACTAAATTTTGTGTGCAAGCCTTAAATGACATACGGAACTATTCCCGATCTCGGAATTCCGTTTGGACCTCGATATCACCAAGACCCGCTCCAAACCAAATTTAAAGAACTTTCAAAACCTTCAAGAACAAACTTTCACTATTAGGCGCCGAAATGCTCCAGGGTCATCCAAAACCCAATCCGAACATACGCCCAAGTCTGAAATCATCATACAAACCTAATGGAACCGTCAAATCCCGATTTTGAGGCCGTTACTCAAAATGTTGACCGAAGTCAAACTTGGCCTTTAAGCCATCCTTAAGGAATCAAGTGTTCCGATTTCAACCAAAACTCTTCCAAATTCCGAACTACTCATCCCTGCTCATAAATCAGTAAAGCAAGTACGTAAAGTCTTATTTAGGAGAATGGAGTTCTAGAAAGTAAAACGACTGATCAGATCGTTACATGGATGAATTAATTAATTTTTTCCTTTGTTAAATTTTTGATGCAATATTATCCCTATCGTTTGCAAAAAAGTTTCATTTTTACCGTTCTCTTTGCAAAGCTCCAACAGAACCATTATCAAAAGTCAATGCATTTTAGACATGTTTTTGCAAGAATTAGGACTCATGAAGTCCACTCATTTTACATTAGAGCTCTGTTAATGACGAGGATAAATACAAGACAATTTGCTAACAGTAAAATCATAAATAGACTAATAATGAGGACAAAATTGAACAAGTTCAATTAATAAAGAAATAAATTTGAACTGTTTTTCTTAGTATTAAAATAATTATCATTAAGTATCGAATTCCTAATCTTAATTATTGGAAATTAAAAATTTGGGTGTGCTAATGCAAAAAAGGAGGCCATGTACTAGTATATGTTGGGCACAAATTAGGAAAGTCATGGGGCAAAGGGCTAAGCCTATCAGTCAAAACTTACCCAATATGAGAAAGCCACGTGTAAAACCGTACAATATTTGAACGCATTACCCATCTTCTTCTGTGTATATATATATATATATATATATATATATTTTTTTTTTTTTTTTTTTTTTTTTTTTTT